AAAGGGCGACTGGGAAACCATTGCGCGAGCGCGGTGCTCATGCTTACTTGGTGGGTCAGGGGGACTTAGTAAGTAGGTTAGGGTTTAGGGTTTAGGGTTTAGGGTTTAGGGTCAGGGGGGCGTAGTAAGTTAGTGAATAAGGGGGGATAACTGGGGTTACTATATGGGTTATAGGGATTATAAATATACCTACTAGGTCCCCCTTATGTCACAGTGGATACTGAAATATGTAGGGTTGAGGGGTATGGGCTTAGCGTCTAAGGACTAGAGTTTAGGGTTTAGGGGTTAACGACTAGGAATTAGGGTGTGGGTTTCGGGTTTATGGTTATGTACGGATTGTATAGGGGGATATGTAGGGATAAACAGGGATATTTAAGGATATAGGTATGCAGTGTCTAGGAATTTATGGGGATATAGAGGATTCAGAGGTAGTCGGCAATAGGATAGAAAGTCCCCCAAGTGGAGTTGCTACCAAACTTATACTAATGCTGAAGGTACTGGTGGTTGGTTGAAGTGGAAATCGAAACTGCTCGAGAATTTAGGTTCGGGGGGTTAGGGTGTGCTGAATCAAGCAGGAGAGTGCTTGAACAGTTCGCATTCGTCTCCATCCCTTTTTACTACCTACTGTCGCGGACAAGAATCAAGCTGGGGCGGGGATCATTGAAGTGCTGCGCAGTTCTTGGGCATCCAAACGCGCATGGCTTTGCCAGGCATAGCCAAAAGGGACACAACAGTAACAGGAGTGGTAAAATAGTACAAGTAGCACGGACAGCAGCAGCCGAAGTGATCATCATAGCGGCAGCAGAACACTGATCCTCACAAAGCTTGAAACGGCTAGTAGTAACTGGTACTGGGACAAGAAGGTAGCAATGCTGACAGTCCAGATGCTTCGGAGATCTAGAAAACAGGGCCCAGTGTGAAGGTTCGTACAGAATCTTCCACTTAACCTTATATCCTAAACCCTACATCCTGACCCACCCAACCCTAAATCCCAAACCCTAAAACCTGAACCCTACAATACTACTACAGGGTACCATGACAGGGGCTCTGTCTTTAAGATCCGACCGGGGTCCGGAAGAACGCATTGCAAACCACAAGGCTGTCCCAGACCCCCAAAGGGATCTAAAAATTAGATCCCCTAGAACCATATGTAGGGGTTATAATGGGTCTATATAGGGGATCTGATTTTTAGATCCTTCCAGGGGTCTGGGGTGTTGCTAGATCCAAGCCCCATGCCTTCTGCAGAGCAAGCACGCGCCTTTGCAGCTCCTGCTGCTGCTACCCAGCACAAGCACAAGTATGCGCTCCTTCTGGATAAAAAGGTACAACAATAAATGCAAGTATGACACGGCACCTGGCACTTTGGGTGTGCCAAAGTGTGATCCCATTTTACTGGTACTTGAAGATCCATGGCCAGTTGTGCCTACGGTCATAATCAGGTAGGAACCTATAATCCTAAACAGAATTCTATGCCTATGAACCTACAAGTGCCTAAACCCCACACCCTAGACCCTGGACCCTAAATCCTAAACCCTATATCCAAAAACCTAAACCCTAAACCCTAAATCCTAAATCCCAAACCCACCCTTAACTTCAGCTTGCTGCGTCCTCCATATGCTGCCGTGGAACGTAAACTCCATCTGCAGGAGGAGCAACCTTTCAGGTAGGGTTTTAGGGTTTAGGGGTTTAGGGCACCAAGGGGCGGCCTCAGGGTTTAGGGTTTAGGGACAATGGAAAAGAAAATGGAAACTACCATAGTATAGTGGGGTTATACAGGGATAACGGAAAAGAAAATGGAAGCTACTATTTAGGGTTTAGGGATTTGGGTTTAGGATTTAGGGCTCAGGGTGCAGGGATTAGGATTTAAGCTTTAGGGATCAGAGGTTAGGGTTTAAGGCTTAGGGTCTATTATTCGTAAAACGGGAGAAGTGCAAACTGGGACCCGTAATTATCCAAAAAGAACACCAATAGTTAAAACATATAAAAAACTACAATCAAAATCTAGCACGTCAACGAGATCCCTAATCATTAAGAGTCGGACCTTCCCTAACTCAGAGGACCCGAGCCGTAATTAACTTTAGTCTTGGCCTTCTTTAAAGTAGTCTCGGGGGCAGATTTCAGAATTTGGAATTCTGGGGGACCCGTATTTTATGTTTTGGGGGGCGGGGGGTTAATATTAGAAGGAAGCGATTCTTGGCAGGTCAGTAGGAAATGGAGGAACGGCTCCCTATAGTGATTTCTATATAACCCCTCATTATCACAATTCCTGCGCCCCCTTGCTTCATCTACAAACCATAAATCCTCAACCCTCAGCCCTAAACGCTCTCAACCCTCTCAACCCTCAACGCTAAGCCCCTAAACCCTCTCAACCCTCAGCTCTAAGCCCTAGACCCTCTCAACCCTCAATCCTAAACCCTAAACCTCCTATCCCTAAACCCTAAACATACCTAACCCCAAAACCCTAAACATACCTAAACCCAAAACCCGTGCAAAGGCGGTGGCCGGAGCTGTCTCGGGAATTGTAGCAGGCCTGAGAGGCACGGGTTTGGGGAATGACCAGGTGAGTACCCTTACACAAGGCTTAGGGCTTAGGGTTTAGGGTTTAAGGTTTAGGGTTTAGGAATTAGGGTTTAGGGATTACGGTTCAGGGATTAGGGTTTAGGGTTATTTTCTTTCCCGCTTGGCTCGAAGCATGCAGGGCAGACAAGTAGCCTTCAGGGTTTAGGGATTTGGGGTTAAGCTTTAGGGTTTCGTTGAGGGCCAGGGTCTGTATAATTGGGCTCCTATTATCATCATATTACAAATATTATCCAACTGCTAACGAGTGGGTGCAGTACCCAACTTGTACAAGGCTTACAGCGGTAGACTAGGAATATGTAAAGGTTCTGCAAGGCTTTTAGGGGGACTGTACCTACCTGGAAACTCCTTGAAGCTTTGTAATCTCAAAAACTGGGTTGCAGTAAAGCAACTTAAGTTAATATAATGTGGAAAGATGGACAATGATGTGGTTTCCCAGCTGCGGTAGCTTGATTTTACTTCCTTCTCAACAATCCAAGGCATCCCCTTAGAGACCTACTGTTCATGCTCAAAATCCCACGTAACCTCGATTTCCTGGAGGTAGTATAAGGTGCGTAGCATCAGGCAGGAATTCAACATCAGCCGTCTGGGAATGTAGGGACTATAATGAGACTCGGGGCCCCCACTAGGTATCATGTAGAGACGATCTGGAAACTCCCACCGTGCTCGCAAGAACTTTCAGTGCACCTACCCACAGGTTTGTGGACCCTTCCATTCTCAGCCATTCTCTGGGAGTACGTCTCTCTACACATATTTAGGGGTGTAGGTGTATGGGAATTTCCGTGTATGGCCGTCCCCAACATTGACCTCAATGTACTAGAATCTCGTTCTATGGATTCCCAAAAAAAACCAATCTCGCCAAGACCTACACCCTAAACCCAATCTATCCCTACAAAAAACCTGTATCACCATCCTAAGCCCTAAAACCTATGCCCCTTCAGAAAGACCCCAACCCGCTACTGCCCTAAACCCTAAACCCTAACCCTGAAAGCTTTGAGGCCAGCTCTTGGCAGGCTTTTTCGCTGGGCCAGCACGGCCTCCCATGGGCCTGGGCACAGACTTTAAACCCTAAACCCTAAATAGTAGGGTTCAGGAACTAAGGTTTAGGGTTTAGGGTCTAGGGCTTAGGGGTGTCCATTTTCTTTCCATTATCCCTATATAACCCGAAAATAAACCCAATATAACATTACATGTCAACATGAGCCACTTGCACTCAGGGTTTAAGGCTCCATGTCTTACGGCTCTTAGGGTTTAGGATTCCTAGTCTGGAATATGATGGCGAATTATATGAGGCATACTGCATCTAGCGTGTTTATGTAAGAGATCTAAAGTCTCATGGTTATGTTATGACTGGGCCACTGGGCTATGAATATCCATGGACCTCCAAACAGACGAGTCCAGATTTGGCTGGGCTTCATTTTTTTCTGCACATTTCGCCGCGACCTTTTCGCGACCGTCCAGCACAACACACTACTTGCGGAGGGCGTGTGCGGTGTGTGGAAGCTCCCAAATCCCACTTCCATTCCTCCAGCTTAGAGCCTTTTGAACAGGGCTTCAGACCTCCCGGATGCTGCGTTTGATCGGCAGGAGCGGAAGGGAAGCCTTTCCAGACCCTTTTGCTGCCATCCCATTAAGATACCCACTGCTGTTTGCTTTTGTGCATCGGTAAGAGAAGTGAGGCCCTCCACAGATGCGACAGTAGGTAGAGCCAAGTCTGGCCAAAACGGCATCCAAGAGAACCGTGGCCATTTGGTAAGCTTCCTCTCCCCTCTTGTGGTCATCGTGTTCGATGAGGACATGCAATCCTTTTTTCTTGGCAGCATCTAGACAGGACATGTGACCTGCACCATGACCTCGAAGCCATAGCCAGGCCCCAGTCTTCTCCTTGAAATGGGAGATACAGGGTTACATAGGGTCAGATCGGGGTATATAGGGTTATATAGGGAGATCTAGGAATTTATCCCAAGTGCCACCCAAGTCTCGTGAATTTGGCGAAAGTTTTGGCCACTCTTACCAAGCAGATGCGCATTGAGGCTGTCGCAACTTTGCCGGTCAGCTTCCATGTCCAACCATATCTTGTGCTGGTATGCAAAAACATGCCCTGGCGGAGGGTCGTCTTCATAAGGCGTCCAGGATGCAACTCGAATCAAGTCCTCCACCATCGCGACAGCCTGGCTTAACATATCGGGCGATGCGGCCTCGATGTGCATGTGGAGGCGCTCCGTTGCATTGTACTGCCCAGAACCTATTCCCACGTAGGATTACATGGGGATAGCTGATGATATAAAAGAACATGGAAGCTACCATTTAGGGTTTAGGGCTTGGGGATTAATTAGGGATTGTGCTGCCCAGAACCTACTCCCAGCATTCTGACGTTGGCGCCGGTCGCGTCTATGATGGGCCGAGTGTTCCGACCTTGGCTACCTATGATGAAGCCAACTTTCGTGTCCGGGTCCAGGTAGCAGTTGTGCGTGTAAGGCAGCTGCCTCTTGGGGCAATCCCTGCCTTTGTGATCGCCTCCGCAATGCTCACAAGTGGGGATGCCGTTTTGCAACACTTCGGCAACCGTGGCGCAGGCTTTCTGCAGACCTCTCTCGAGACCATCTGGATTTCTTGCAGTAATGCGGAGGTGTTTCGGTTCGTCTGTCGGCCTGTTGGACTCAGAAAATCTGTGTTCCGGCGGAGGAGCTCATTTCTCTCAAGACATGGCCCTTCTTGCCAATAACTCTCGAGATGTGATAGCTCATAAACCCAGGCATAGTCAACATCAGCTTTGCTTTGACTTTGGACAGGTATACCAGCTCAAAACCTTGGGGCAAGGCTGTGGAAGATGCGTGTTCACCATCCTTCGCCCCCGGCTGTTCCCAACGGTGGGCAGAAGAGAGACAGATCTGCCCTCTGCGCCCAAGCCATGCTCTTGCCTGGGTTGCTGTAAGGAACTTGAATTAAGTAACCATAATGGGTACATATAATAACTAAGAGGGTTTCCCCAACATAGTAACTCAAATTAAGCTTCTTAACAGCAAGCTTGTTGCACGCTGTAGGAGCTCTGACTACAGTCCTGTTCACTGCTCCACTTGGGCCATTCATGCCAGCTACTCCAGGCTGACGACTCCTCCTCGTCTTTACACTTGGACCAGCTCCAGTCCTGCCCTTCCTCGTTCCATTTGGACCAGCTGCGATGATCTTTTTTGTGCTCCTCCTGCCAGTCTTCTTCTTTCCACTTGGACCAGCTCCTTTCCTTCCTTTCCTCATTCCATGTGGACCAGCTGCAACGGTCTTCTTCGTGTTCTCTCTCATCTTGCTCCTCCTCCTCCTCTGCCTCTTTCCATGCCGACCAACTGCCGCCTTTGCTGTCCTCGGTCCACTTCGCCGAATCGCGATGGTTCTTGTCGTGCTCTTTCTCGTTTCGCTCCTCCTCCTCGTCCTCATCCTCCTCATCCTCCCAGCACTCCTCTTCTGCTTTTGCCTCCTCCTTTAAGCACTCCTGGTCCCTCCTCCACCAAGATGACCAGGTGTCATGGCCTCCTTCCTCTTCACCTTCTTCTCCATCATCCTTGGCTCGCTGCCAAGGAAGCCGCTGGCCACTCTGCAAGGCGCCATGGTTCCTCTCTGCTTGCCTTACATGAAGGGTAGCCCTCAGGGACTCCAAGGACCAAAAGCGACTATGAGGTGATTCTTGGATCCATACTAGAAGCACAATAGGGATTGTCCTGAAAAACTCCCACAGGCATACCAAATCCTTCATCGTAGTTCCTGGAAATGCCTTTGGATGGGCACGGTCCAGAGTCATCTGAGCCATTTCTCCCAGCATTCCGTGGCAAACGGTGGAAGCCAGGAGGCTTCGATGACTCTGCCGGTGGCAAGCTGGAGTGAAACATGGCAAACTAAAAAGCAAAGGAGCGCGGCTGCTAGAAGTCTTCTGCCACGATAGCATGACCTCTCCCTGATGCCAGCTGCAAGTTCATTCATCCAAGGATGGGAAGGTAAACCCAAAATGCTAGGCCGTATGACAGAGTGCGCATATGGGAGTTGCCACAGATAGGGATCCCCCCAACGTACCCCCAATGCCCTAGCCGCCAGCCCTTATAACAGCTAAGCCCTGTATGCGCCTATATATCCCTTAAGGCCCTATACCGCCCTTCGAGGGAACGAAAACCCTAAACCCGAATCATATATGAACTCTAGTCTAGACTCTTAGTATCCTCCTTAGTAAACCCCCGTAATACTCCTTTATATAATCCCCTATATAGCCCCTCTTTAGGAGTTTAGGCTATGACTCGCATGAACTCTAGCGGCGTGCCTCTTTGACTCAGAGCCTGCGGCTCCATGTACATGTACCAGTATCAGAGAATCAGATGGAAAAGCACATGGAATTGAAATGAAAATCTCGTTTAGGGACTGCATAGGGGTTTATGGGGATCATCATATAGCGAAGCTTGAAGAATTACAAGATCATTCTAAAGTCTGCTTCAGATATCCTGTGCCCCTACTTATACAAGGGATCTAGAACTGTAATATTGCAGGCCCCCCTAGCACCCGCCCCCAACATACAGAGGAATCCTCAGAAGGGCCCTGCAAAGACGAATTTTCATTCAACAGGGGGATCTGCAGGGTCCCATGTTAGCTTGGGGAAGGCCCCTGTGGCTTTTGCCTGTTCAAACCTGCAGCGCCTCGCCAGTCCGGAAGCACAGGCTTGTCTATACTTTGAAAAGCACCCCCGCCTCGTAACAGTCTATCATACTAAGGGTGATAACAAGTGCTTAATAGCTTCATTGTTAGGGGGGATTATATGGGGGAGTACCATCCGGGGTGTTAAGGGGGATGCTAGGAGTTTGGATTATAGCTCATATTGTCCAGCTGTTGCTAAGTGCGGGCTGTACCCAGTCCGTACGGTTTCGAGTTTCGGATTCAAGGCGAGGAACCTCCAAACAAGGAAAAAATCGGTCATGTACTCCCTCCCCTAATACTGATGTGTAGTTTCTATTTTCTTTCCATTCCCCCATATATCCCTGCAAGGTTCCCTTTCTGCCCCTTTTAAAGGGAGGGAGCCCAAAACCCTAAACCCTAAAACCCAAACCCTAAATGCCAAACCCTGAACCCCAAAACCCTAAACCCTGAACCCTAAACCCTAAACCCTAAACCCTAAACTCTAAGAAGGGCTTAAGGGGAAAGACCCAAGGCATGTCAGGGCTGCTAGGCTTCGCACTCCAGACCAAGACATGAAAGGAAATCACCATTCTCTTGCGCCGCTGCTTTGTAGGCCTCTAAGCTGATGACCTCCTGGCGTGGGTTGGGATTTAGGGATTTGGGGTTTAGGGTTTCGGGGCTTAGGATTTAAGTTTTAGGGTTTAGGGTTTTGGGTTTAGGTCTTGGGGTTTAGGATTTAGGCTGTGGGGTTTAGGGTTTCATGTTCCACCGCCTTCCTAAATGGGGCTTTCCGTGATTGGAGTCCCAATTTGCAGTAAGCATCGTTAACGGGATCCCCAAAAGGGGCCCAAAAATTTTAGGAAGCCCTAGACCCTAGTTCATATCTTCCTACGCACCCCTGCATAATCCCTCTAACTCCCCTTTAAAGGGATCCCCCAAGAACGGGAAGGATCTAAGGTCAGACCCACAGTCGGACCCCAAAACAATACCAGCGCATATGCCCTAAACCCCAAGCCCTAAACCCGGCCCTAAACCCTAAACCCTGAACCACAAACCCCGAACCCTGAACCCTAAATCCTAAGCCCTAAACCCCAAACCCTAAACCCCTTTTCTGGGTAGCGTTGTCACTTACACAGGCACAGAAACCCAGGGCCAAACCCAGGGATCCCAATCTAAAAGACTCTTTTCCTTGAACCCTAAACCCTAAACCCTAAGTTTAGGGGTTTAGGGCTTTAGGGATTTTGGGATTTTGGGGTTTAGGGCTTACGGTTTAGGGATGTTGCAATTTAGGGGTTTAGGGTTTAGG